AAACATTCATGTCCTGCAAAATTTGGGCTGATTTCTCCACAGTATTCAAATTTTTTGAATTCCTGTTTTCATGGGTTTCATGAGCTGGAAGCCCAAATTATGTAAAAATAAATACTTGAAGTCATTTAAATTGTGGGTCCTGAATCTATCATCTATTAAATATGAACTTTTTGAATGGAATTATGGAAGTTAAACAACTTTTCCATGATATTCTAATTTTTTGGAAAGGGTCTGTATTTATATACATGTATTTTGACACAAAAATATGTAGACGTGAAATAAATATAAAGTGAACCCAGATCAAAAGGTGCTGCCAGTGGCTTAACCGAGTCATCATGGTAGACACATGTTGCTCAGTCTCTGACAACATTTCTAATAAGAGTCAGTCAGAAACACAAAACTGAAATCCAGTCTCCAAAAGGACCTTCACTTTAAGATTGGAAAAGAAAATTCTGAGCTCAGATACAAGGAAGAGTTGAAACACACCAAAGTGAAACTTGCCATGACTTTAACTGAATTGTCAGACTCGGTCATTAATACTGCAGCAACACATGTGGCAGCAGGAAGGAGGTGAACTCTGTCTGAGGCCGCTCAGAAAGCAAAGCTTTACACTTCAGGGATGTGGTTGGTCAAGTCCAGCATGGGTTAGCTGGCATCGACTCATCCCAAATGCTCCTCAGTGGAATAAAACAACACTGGTGCAAAGAAGACATCTTGTGGTGGAGCAGATAAAGACAGGAGGAAGCAAATCAGAACGTTAAGGCTGTTGAAATGGCTTAAAAAGCCAGACGAAGATGAAGCTACAGTAAATTGGATAAATATCTGGGACATGGAGGAATCTTAAGAGTTTTCCCAAAAAGAGCTACATATGTCTTCTTATCCACACCAAACCCAAGTGCTCAGATTGATGACCTCAGTCTTGGAACAAAGGAGAACCATAACAAATGCTCTCCCACATACACTGAAAGGACGCACTTTGCAACTTTGTTTTGGTGGGCCATCCACCAGAGCAGCAAACATTAAAAATTCTATATATTAAAGGTTGGAAAATGAACATGGATGTGGAAAAAAAAGCTTGCATTCCCACCGACTGCTGCAATCGCGACACTCCAGCTGAATGTGGTGATGTGATCAACGGGAGCTGAGCTGGCGGTAGTTTTAGAATTAACAGTTCCATGCAAAGATGGTGTAGTGGAGGCATTTGACAGAAAAAACACCAATCTTAAAACACGGGCAGCACAGAACGACAGGCGAATAAGGGTGTCCCCTGCAGGAGTAAGAAGCAAGGGATCTATTGCAACATCTATGATCCACCAAATAAAAAACGATGGTGGTGCGAGGTCCCTTTCAACAACAAACTAAGTCCTTGTTTTGCAGCAGTTGGCTGTGGATTAAAAGAAGGGCAACACGTGGGCTGTAAGATTAAACAGAAGGGGATAAGGCTAAGGAACATACTTGGGAATACCTAACACTGCTGAACTCTCTGGAGATGTTGTGGCTCATTAATGAAACATCAATGAAGGAGAGAACCTACTTGATGAGCCCAATGAAGCACCTACCCTCTTGTACATCAGTCCCATTACACTGCTGTTTCCAAGAGTACTGACTGATTACAGGGATTGAAACACCAATTCCTACTGGCTCTACAGTGAAAGTTGAAGCTTAGATCTGCACACTCTGAGGGGATTGGACAAAAAACACAAATCCTATAGCAGCAAAAGACACACTGGATGAAAGAAAATACACCTACTTTTTTAACTTTCAAACTGTATAAGAAGTGTAAAGTTTGTGTAAATAAGGAGAGTTTGCTGAAACTTTGGAAAGGTTGAACAGGTCAAAAGTGAATGTGTGACATCATCACACGAAGCCGAACGAGCTACGGCAAAACCAGCAACAACCATAAACAAACTGTGATTGTGTAAAATGTTTTTTTTTTTTTTTTAAAAAGCCAGTTCAGTGGCGTAAAGACCAACTTTCTGTGATTCGTTTAAAATTTTAAAGATGTCACTACTGTGAGAAATGTCTGAGCTGTATGATGTACGGCAACCAAAAGTCAGTGACTGAACCCCGTATGTTGATGTACTTTTCTTTATGTTGTCTTGTAAAGCTACGAGAGGAATAACAAATCATGACAGACACGTAAGAATAACAACTAAACAGTAATAAGGGTGCTTCAAGGCTTAAGCATCGGTACTTTCATTTCAATAAAGTGAGTCAGTTAGGACCTGTCCTTCAAACAGATAAGTCTTTCCATCAATTTTGTGTTTGTTCTGGGGCTTTAAAAAAGTCTGATGGAAACTAGGAGGCTGTAAGAAAATATTTTTTTCTCACATGGGAGGAATTGAGAATTCCCTCAAAGTCAGCAGTAGTACGTTGCCCTGCCGGTCCTTCAGTGGTTCGTAGTAGACCTGACCCAGGTCCATCGTTCCTAGAGAAGACTGACAGCATATAAAAAAAGAACACGTACAACAAAACAAAAAAATGAGTAAACCAACAAGGAATTATGGAGTGAATGAGGTTCTATATGTGCTGGTGGGCTTATTGAGGAAACAGACATAAAGAGTTAATCAAAACAGCAATTATCTCATTTTTATGTTTCTTATGTGGACAATAAGCTGCTTATTGTCCTACCTGCAGCTGGGAAACAGCTCTCAAGATGTTGTGTCTGTTTTGGAGGAGGGAGGAGGGAGAGGAGTGAGCTGAGGAGAGGGCCTGCTGAAGCCAGGGCACCTGCTGCCATGCACACGACAACTGTAGGAAAGACAGGTACACAACCTGAGGCTGCAAGTAGCAGGACAGTAGAAGTACAGGACCAACTCTGACAACGTCGGGACGTTGTATAAAATGTAAATAAAAACAGAATGCAATGGTTTGCAAATCTCATATACCCATGGTGTATTAGCAGTGAAACACAGTAAACATATCAAATGGTTTAACTAAGAAATTTTACCCTTTTTTTTTTTTAAAGAGCAGGTAATTTTAAAATGTAAGTACTTTGTACTCAAAGAACAAAGACAAAAGTCAATATTGGATTGTTGTGCTATTCAGGCTGTCAGGCAGCACTGCAACAGAACCAGGTCTGTTGCTGTTCTGGACATCACTGCATGAACTTAAGAACACTTCCACAAATCAATGTCTGTAAACACAGTTTGCTGTGGCATCCACAAAAGCAAGTTAAAGCTCTATCGTGCAAATAAGAAGCCACATGTGAACACCATCCAGAAACGATGCAGTCTTTTCTTAACCAAAGCACTTTAGGAATGGAAAAAGGTAAATGGAAAAACTGTTCTGTGGTAAAAAAATAAAAATAAAGCTTTTTGGAAACCATAAACACACCCTTCATTCTAAAGTGGAGAGGGACCATTTGGCCTGTTATCAGCACACACTTTAAAAGCCTGTCTCGCTGATGGTATGGGGGTACATTAGTGCCTATTGTATGGCAAGCTAATACAGCTGGAAAGAAGCCATCGTTACAAGAAAATTTATAGAAGTTTAAGAACAAAATACGCTCCCATCCAAATGTTTTTCAGGGAAGGTCTCGCATATTTCAGCAAGATGAGCCTAAACCACCTACATTCATTCTTATGTTCAGAGTCTATGATCAGTTTACCTTGGCAAACCACAGGAAGTCCTGGGTGATGGAGTTGGAACAGCACTGGATCTCCACTAGTGGGATCTGATCTTCAGCTGTCACCAGGATGTTCTCCTTGTGGTAAAATATGGTGGCCAAATACACACCCCTGATGAGATCAGCATAAAACAAAGTGTCTTATTAGATTAGAATATTAAATAAATAAATAAAAAATCACCCTGTCTAAATCCTAATGCAATTTAATACCTTTCATTTTTAGTAAATTTGATTTTCCAAAAGTTTGTCACTTACCACTTTGCAGCAACTCTGTTTTCAAATATCAGCTTGTTCAAAACTCTCATTTTAAAGCTACAGCAGCTCTAAAGCGACTCGTGCTCTTTTTAATAACATGAGTTTGGACTCGCACCATGCAGTCTGCACTGCTGCAAGTTGCATCACATTTAACAGATTTCTCTTGATCCCCTCAAGGCATGATGGGAATAGTACGACAGATGAGCGCTACCTTTGTAGAAGGCGAACAAACTTGGTGGCGGACTGGAAGAGCTGTTTGATGCCCCGAGACACCGACAGACGCTTGCCAGGACTCTGTGTCTTGAGGGTCTCTGTGGAATTGAAGAAAAGAGGATCATACGAGATGAAAATACTTTTATCTGCCAAAACATATTGACTGTGCAGGCAACACACATTTGAGTGAGTGAAAGTATGCAGCAGTGCAAAATCAGAGTAAGCTTATGAAAAGCCAACATATTAAATTATTATCAAATCACAACAGATTTGTTGTTCGTATTTGCATGTATCGCCTGCAAAAATTTGATGGATTTATCTGGGAAAATGTAAGCAACTGAGTATTTACAAGAACAGAATGTCAATTGCCTCTTTGTGTTTCATTGTTAATGCATTGTAAGTCTATAACGCCAACAAAATAATTACTGACAAATCTGTACATAATAAAGGTATATGTGTTTTTGTAATAACATCATGTAGAGGCTGATGGATCAGATTTATTCAACAGGTGAGTCCAGTGACGATTTTTAGAAATCAGGGAAGTCAATGGCCGATTCATGGGGCACGTTTCTTCTGAATTTGTTTTTGGACTCTAAATAAAATAAATTATTGCTCATACATGTTATAATATAGTAGGTTTTAAAAATATAAGTGGCCAAGCTTTCCTGAAAGGAAGGAACATTATCTGCCACCTTTCATGCTGATAAACTAAAATCATCTTAGGCTGAGGATGAATGAGACAAGTTTAGTAAAAACCTCGTAAATGATGTTATGATCTCATATTGTGAGATTTAATGTGTTGTGAATGACTTTCATATAATAACATCAAATTTTAGCTCAGTATCTGTACATCTGATTAAGTTGCAGCCATTTTTGTGCTGGCAAAGGCCAACAAGCTGTGTTGGCCATCTTGAATTGGAATGACTCGAAAAGTTAATCAGTTGTAGATTAAAATCCGTTAATTACATTCTGAACATTTCATTATATTCTGTCCAGTGATTCAGGAGGTCTTTTGTTAACAGACATGGCTGACTCCAAATGATTATGGCAAAGCTTTAAACAACTAATCTTATGCAATCAGTTAGCACTCTGTGCATGGGCTGGGAAGGACTGCCAGCTACTACCACGCCAAATTTTATATCAATATCAGTGAAACTGGTCAAGCTAGAGTCACTCTTGTGTTTGTGAAGGTTTCTTGGCTTTGGCATCCATTTAAAATGGAGCTGACTCCAAAATGTAATCAGCTGTAGATGAACATCCGATGATTAGTTTCTGGGAGTTTTATTAAAACTCAGTCAGACATTTTGCTGTTATCACCTTGGTTGACAGGTGACAATAAATACAGGTCGTGTATTAAATTATATTTATTTATGCATGAATTTCCAGTATGCTGCAATGAATCTCTTCAGGGTATAATAACCCCACCTCTCACTAAATGGCTGCTGAAAAAAGGCACCATCTCCCCACAACTCTGAACAGGTTGACAAAGTGCAGAAATGGAGATACAATGCACTCCCTCAGTGATGGTGGTACACACAGTACAGCTAGAGCCGCAACAACACAGAAAACACTCACTGTTACCTATGGAATATCCTCTGTACTGTGACTCTTTGGCATCTTCCAGCAGTTTCCTCACCAGACCCTGGTGGTTCCTGGGCTGTGACTTTACACCAGTGCACTCTCTCCAGCCTTCACAAGAAGAAAGGGAAATACAATCATTTTCATGCAGTGTGGGGGAATCATTTAGACGCTATGTATTAATTAGCTGGCAGGTTCTGAATGCTGCTTTCAGAGTGATAAAGAAGCTTGAATGACAGATCACCTGCATGCTGGCAGAATTTTTATTTTCTTTCATACTAAACCCCTGCAACAATCACATTGTAAGCTAGATTGTTAACTATTGTCTTTTGACAAAATGCTGTAATATTTTCGCTTTTATAACCCATATAAAAATCTTAGTGCAGCGTTACCCATTTGTCAAACAGCATAAAGTAAAAAGAAATGGCAGGTAACGTAGCCAAGGGGGTAGTGTTACATGTAAGACAGATTATGAGCCACATTCTAACTCGTAGTGCAGGTACAAGTCCCATTGATTCACAATGACACCCTTAATTCTCCACGTTTTAATAATTCATGAATCTGCCGTGAGTGGATCCCACTTCTTATCCTTAAACTCCATATCAGCTAAACAAAAGTTTTATGATGATGAGGCACAGACAAAAACAGTGGCGGCCTTTAAAACTCTGCTTTCTGACAAAGTTCAGGATACTCACTCGAGGGGGCGACGCTGACCGGAGTCGAGCACTGAGGCGGGCCCCATCCTTTCACGTTGTAGGCGCTCACTCTTACAAAGTAACGCTCGCCCTGCGTTTGGAGAAACGCCAGACCGCCACATTACCAGCACGCATTAACCTCGTGAATCAGCCGTCTCAGGACAAAGGAATGGAGCTCTTATTATTAATTCATCTCATTGAGCACTCCGAGGTTGTTGAAAAGCGTTCTCATGTGGAAAGCGGTTCAAAGCGGTTTACAAATGAGGCAATAAATAGAGTCCATGCATGAGCTGAGAGCTGCTGCTTTTACACCCTAGGACTATGACGTGCATTCCTGTCAATATGATGTGGAGGTGTGCATCAACTCTGTGACTTACTGCAGTCAGATCCTTGATGATGTGGGAGGGGTTCTTGGTCTGTGTAACGTGTGCTGAACCAAGGATGTGCTTAAAGTTGGCTGAGGCGCTCCATTCCACTGCAAACAGAAACAGCCTTACACACACACGTTTCTTTCTGGCTCCGCTCAAAGCGCCGCGATGAGAGAACAAAGAATTGTACAGTTCAAAGAAGAGGCTGTACCCGGGCCTCGTCTACTCTTGGCAGTTATGCATCTGCAAAAGTAAAGCTTACTCTGGAAGCACAAATAAAGTTTTTTTTTTTATCAGGGCATGTCTGACATTTTCCGGGACTCTTATTTTACTGAACAAAAGAAATACTCCACTCTTTTGACAGCTGACCATAGGATGAATAAAAGCCCCACCTGATCAAACTAAACAAAATAAAAGCCAAGTAGATGTGTGTGTATGACAGTGTTATTACTCTATGACCTTTGGTATATTTGCTTCCCTTGAAAGGGGCTGCCTTTACAGCAGGGGTGGTTTTTAAATCTGCTGGATTGGAGAAAATTAGTTTTTTTTTTTCTGACCAGATCAACGTGAAGCCAAGATCAAAGTAGAAAGCTCCTCCCTAAAAAGAACTCTGATCTCTAAAGGTTCATTGCTATGCTGACATTTTTGCATTTCACACTTATTTACATAGCATTTTAAAGCTATTTGCAAGTGCAAACAGCTAACCAGTTGTAGCATGGCCAATGCAGCTTGAGGCGCTCCCAAAAGGAGTATCCAAACGTTTCAGCCAGAACAATCATGTAATTTAAAACTGATGACAGCAGAAAAGATTATAAAATAGCTTTTTACTTGAACTACCGTAAATATTTTGTATTTTAAAAGCTGCAGTCTACTTTGGTCTTGGTCCCACTCAAACTGCAATCTACAAATCCAGAACAGGTAAGATGTTAACTGTTCATAACCTTTCCACAGAAGCCTGCTTCAAAAGAAAATACTCACTTTTATCATTTAGAGCTTTTTATTTTTAATTGTTTCAATTCAAGTCAGTTTATTTATATAGCACCAAGTCACAACATAAGTCATCTCAGGGCACTGAACAGAAACATTCATATATATATAAAATAAGAATTTAACATTATTTATCTGAGGAGCAGACTGCTTTGAATTTAACTCCATCACAGACTCTCATCTTGAGCAAGCATGAAGGCGACAGTGGAAAGGAAAAACTCCCTTATGAGGAATAAACCTTTAGCAGAACCAGGCTCAGGCTTTAGTTTAGTTAACATTTTTCTTAGTTCATATCTTAAATCTTATTACTGTTTTTTTTTTTTTTACATTTTATACTGTAGTGGACTAGGCCTGATGTCGAAACCTTGACCTTGGGCACCTTGTGGGACAGAAACTGTCATTTCATTGATTTGAATCCAGAAATACAGGTTCACCCATCCTGAGACTTTCTTTCTTGAAAATTCAAGTGAAAGAACACTCTCTTTTCTATTTATCATTACTGTTTTACAAATGTTTGATAATCAAAGTGTTTTAGTTCAAACATTTTAGATGTTACAGTGAACTAATCAATTTTTATTAACTGTGAAAACAGTAACAATGATTATTTTTTAATTCTCATGCAAAGTTAGAATTCATGTTAAGGCCTGTTACAGAGTAATTATGCATTTTCTGATTT